AGCTATGCATTAAACATTGTATGGTGCTGATTGTTTCATAAACCCGTCACTCTTTTTTCTTCTCTTTTCTAGAGTATAGTAGTTGTGTTAATCAAACTGCATTGTTACACTTTTTAGCAGAAAAAAGGAAACATGAATTGGCTCCCATATAAACCAATGGAAACATTCTCTAACCTGTGGAACCATGTAGATGGTTAAATCTTCCTGTTATTTCAAGGCAGCAAATGTCTCTTTAAATAATTTTGAATTAGGCCCAGTATATTTGTGTTTGAAATTCTCATAACTAATTTGTATTGTACAGTATAAGTGCTGTTCACACCAGAACGCGGTGCAAGAAACCTGTGTTCTGTGCGTGTTTCCTGCACCATCCTCAAAATGCACTGGGTATGTGATCGCAAATGCAGTGTGTTTACCTGCACGGGATTGCTTGGTACCGCAGTACCATACAATCCGGGTACAGTGCGTTTTTAAAAGTAATGCATGCACTACTTTTGGTGCAATCCAGTGTGGTTTCAGCTCATTCAAATGAACAGGCTGAAAATTGCACTATACTGAATCAAACAGGAACACAGAGCGCATTTTTGTATGATTTTGGTGTGAACTGGCACAAAATATGTGTAAACTGTGCCTTGTATATACTGGATAAAAGTAACTAGTACAGATATTTTAGCAGGATTTTTGGATTTCCAGCCAAGAAAATGAGTGAAAAATCTGGGAAGTCTACCTCTTCAACAAATAGTGAGACTCAGGAAGAAATGGAAAGAGATACTGCCAAGGAAGATCCACCTCGGGTTCAAAAACAGTCGGTAAGACTTTTGGATAAATTCAACTTTGAGCTCAGTTATAGGTGGACACTGGTAGGATGAATAATCTCCTAGTGTATTTCTGTGGGATTCTATAAATGAGGTCTTCTTGAAACATATAGTGCATGTAAATATATATACAGTGAACACTCGTCAGAAAATCAAATAGTGCCTATCATACATACATATAGTCTGTGACAGATCTTATTGTGCATATAAATCCTGTGTACGTGGAAAAATTGTTACAATTGGTGTCAATCGTCCAAACACATAACAATCTGTGACAAAGCTTGATGTGCAAAAAAGTTCAATTAAAAATGGTTGTAAACCACAGACATGAAATAGGAACAAAGCATATCCCTCTATACTGTGTACATCTCAATTAAGAGGACTGCATAACTTCTTCTATCTGCAGGAGTCACTTCTGTCAGGTTTTCCTGATACCAAGAGAAAAAAGGTGACAGGGGAGGGACCTCCAACATACAGCTTATGATTGACAGCCTCAGCTCTGTTCTTGTGTGCTCTGTGAAGGGAGGTGTGTCCCTTTCCTTCAATCAGCTCTCAGAGCTCTCCTCACTGAGCTCTGCAGGGTGCTGTCTGCCCCCTTCTTTTTGACAGCTCAGACAAGCTTTACATATTCTGATCTTTGAATGGATGTAGAGAAGAAAAAACTACAGATAAACAGGTACAACTTATGTAGGAGGATTTGTTTAATCTCTGTGTATAATCTTAGGCCAGTCTCTTCACTGGGTATATGTAAGGGTTTACAACCACTTTAATAATTTGTGAGCACTCTAGTGTATAATGATAAAATGCGGTGATCCTGGTGGGAGCATCTGTGGAAACTGGAAATTGCTGTAATAGGTGCCACTACTACAATGATCACTGCTAGCTTACAGGTCTTCGCTCGAGCAGCTGCCCTTCTACTTACTGAATACACTTCTTATCATTAAAAATATATCCAGAAACATGGTGAACATGGGTTTTAATATGTACAGTATGCTGTACTAGAACACAGAGCAAGGTAGTGGTGTGAACCAGACACATAGGAAACAAGGCAGTTTGCTGGAATATCTGCCCAGCAAAGTCCCACATATCCTAATACATTCACCTTGAGGACCACATAAACATATTGGCCACTTCTTTGTTGTTTGTGGTGCCTATTCTCAGGGCACTTCTCTCACCTTCCCCACCTCTAATATATCTTTATTAAACACTTTGCGACTGGCCCATTGTAGCTTCAGGGTGGCCGCTAATGTACAGTTGCAAGAAAAAGTATGTGAACCCCTTGGGAATACGTGGAGTTTTGCATGAATTGGGCATAAAATGTGCTCTGAACGTCATCTAAGTCACAACAATAGAAGAACACAGTCTGCTGAACATAATACTACACAAACATTAGATGTTGCCATGGTTTAATTGCACATAACATGTAAACATTTACAGTGCAGGGAGGAAAAAGTATGTGAGGCCCTAGCTTAATGACTTCTCCCAGAGCTAATTGGAGCCAGGAGTGAGCCAACCTTGACTCCAACCAGTGTGATGATATTGGATGTGTTGCTGACAGCTGTCCTGCCCTTAAAAAACACACACCTGTTTTGGGTTTACTGGTTTCAAGAATCACTGTCTGATGTGAACCTAGCCTCAAAGAAAAGAGCTCTCAGAAGACCTACGATTAAGAATTGTTGACTGCATGAAGCTGGAAAGGGTTACAAAAGTATCTCCAAAGCCTTGATGTTCATGTGTCCACGGTAAGACAGACTGTCTCCAAATGGAGAAAGTTTAGCACTGTTGCTACTCTCCCTAGGAGTGGTCGTCCTGTAAAAATGACTGCAAGAGCACAGCGCAGAATGCTGCATGAGGTAAAGAAGAATCCCAGAGTGTCAGCTAAAGACCTACAGAAATCTCTGGCACATGCTAACATTTTTGTTGACACATCTACAATAAGGAAAACATTAAACAAGAATGGAGTACATGGGAGGACACCACGGAGGAAGCCATTGCTGTCCAAAAAGAATATTGCAGCACATTTGAAGTTTTCAAAAGAGCACCTGGATGTTCCACAGCACTACTGGCAAAATATACTGTGGACAGATGAAACCAAGATTGAGTTGTTTGGGAAGAACACACAACACTATGTGTGGAGAAAAAAAGGCACAGCACACCAACATCAAAACCTCATCCCCACTGTAAAACATGGCAGAGGGAGCATCATGGTTTGGGGCTGCTTTGCTGCCTCAGGGCCTGGACGGATTGTTGTCATTGATGGGAAAATGAATTCCAGAGTTTATCAAGACATTTTGCAGGAAAACGTACGACCATCTGTCCGCCAACTGAAGCTCCACAGAGGATGGGTGATGCAACAGGACAATGATCCAAAGCATACAAGTAATTCAACAAAACAATGGCTGCAACAGCACAGAATACGCCTTCTGGAGTGGCCCAGTCAGAGTCCTGACCTCAACCCGATTGAAATGCTGTGGCATGACCTTAAGAGAGCGATTCACACCAGACATCTCAAGAATATTGCTAAACTGAAACAGTTTTGTGAAGAGGAGTGGTCTTTTGGACCACTCCTCTTACTCCAGATCGTTGTGCAGGTCTCATCTGCAACTACAGGAAACGTTTGGTTGAGGTTATTGCTGCCAAAGGAGGGTCAACCAGTTATTAAGTCCAAAGGTTCACATACTTTTTCCTCCTTGCACTGTGAATGTTTACATGTTATGTGCAATTACACCATGGCAACATCTAATGTTTGTGTAGTATTATGTTCAGCAGACTGTGTTCTTCTATTGTTGTGACTTAGATGACGTTCAGAGCACATTTTATGCCCAATTCATGCAAAACTCCATGTAATCCCAAGGGGTTCACATACTTTTTCTTGCAACTGTATATGTATGTGATTCTGCATTTCCAGGTAGGGCCTGCGCTCGTCCACCAATCCAGCTGTTCTGTGATTTGTCACAGCACATGCCAGTCATCTGGTGCCGCCTGGTGATTGGCTGCCAGTGCCTGGTGATCAGCTTTGAGACTCATAGAACACAGCTCTGTCAAAGTAAACAGGTTATGATTAAGATCGTGTGAAACGCGCTGATAAGTCCTGTATTCATGTCCTGGTGTTTTGTGTGTCCTATGGATCAATAAATACACACTATATTCATCTATCCTCCGGTGCGCGGCTGACCCTTCATCCTGTTGCATCGTGTGTGGTGGCGAGCCAGAGCCTGCACCTGTCGTGGATTGATCTGGATTGTTTGCCTGAGCGGTATACCTTTTGTTCTTTGGTCAAAGTAAACAGCACAGAGCTGTGTTCAGTGACAGGATCTAGTTGACTTTTTTTTTTGCAGGGAATGAAAACAACTAGATCCACATTGAAAGCAGCATGCAGTACACACACAAACACGTTAGGCACATATATAACCCCTTGATCTCCCTATATGTTAACCCCTTCCTGCTCAGTGTCATTACTACAATGACAGTGCATATTATTAGCACTGATCACTCTAATAATAGCACTGGTGATATCAGTGACAGTTAGCTAGTTCCCCTCAGCATCAGTTTGTGCCAGATTGACTGCCGCAGTGTAGCAATCCTGTTATAAGTCTCTGATCGCCACCATTACTAGTACTGAAAAAAAAAATTACATTATATATCTCATAGTTTCTACATGCTGCAACTTTTATACAAACTTGTCAATATACACTTATTGGGGTTTTTTTTACCAAAGACATGTAGCAGACTACATTTTGACCAAAATTTTAGTAAGATATTCAATTTTTGTATGGGATGTGTTATATCAGAAAGGAAACAAAAAAATTCCAAAATGTTTAGTCTTTTTTCTTTTGTTTAATAAAAAAATAAAATCACAGAGGTGATCAACTACCACCAAAAGAAAGCTCTATTTGTGTGAAAAAAAATTAAATTTCGTTTGGGTACAGCGTTGCCTGACCACGCAATTGTCAGTTAAAGTGGGGGTATATCTTCCGGAGGGCAAGTGGTTAATAGCTGTCACTGTCAAAGGAGATGATGCCTCATCCCTCTGCAACCCTGTATGATGAGTGGCATAACATGAGTGGCAAAAGAAATAATGACATTGTGTTCTCTATATTTAGTGGCCACACTACATTAGAGCTAAGCTATGCCTCTGTTGAGATGTAGGAGGTAAAATGCAGCATATTGACATTGTTATTGTTTTGACAGCAAATTGAACGACAGTTGAAATGTCTAGCCTTCCAAAATCCCGGACCACAGGTTGCTGATTTTAATCCTGAAACTCGAAAACAAAAGAAAAAAGCTTACATGTCCCAGATGAATGGATACTACACAACAACCAACAAGTAAGGACATTTAGTGTCTCTGTCATGACCATCTGTGCATCACTGGTGTTTATTAGGATCAATTAACAAAGCTGACACACCAAGATAAGGATATTAATTTTCAAGTGACATTTATTTCCAGTTAATTCTAATGGAATTTGAAAATTACAGTTACATGGCTTCAAGTGGAACTTTACTTAAAAAAAGAAACATTTTGAACAGGCTGGATTTTTAATGCAGAAGAGACATGTCTTTTCTGTATTTGGTGTCCGTTTATGACACACAGAATAGCTGCGATTCAGAGGATCACAGCTATTCTCTGGTCATTCACAGTTTATGACACCCAGGAGAGAATATGTTCAGCCCTTCTCTGGAGATCTGTGTTCTCCCTCCAGATTCTCCAGCCCAGAGCTGGAGAATCGGAGGGACCGCAAACTAAGCAGAGATAATTTACCTCTGCTTAGTAAACTGATCTTTTACTGTAATCTCGCGAGATTATAGTAAAATCAGCCGTTTCCAGCGTTTGTAGACCGTTCTCCCTTCGTTTGGAGAACTGATCTACATATGCTTCATAAACGGCATTCACAGGAGAACTGTGTTCTCTGAGAATGCCGGAGAACTGAGCAGCGATCTATTACTGCTGGTTCATAAACGGACACCTTTGTTACTTAACTGCCTGTCTGCACTGTTCACGAGCAAGACTTTCTACAGTGCCATGAAGACTGGACTCCCAGGTGTGCAACATGTAGCTAAAGGTGAACATATCCTTTAAAATAAATTCAGTTGCTATTACATACTATCACATTCAGTTTCTTTGATTTCTGAGATGTACACTGACTGCTCTTTAGAGTTTTTTAGGTATGGAAGATTGTAAATGATAGGGCCTATAAACCCATTTATTTGTGAATAGCTCGTGCTCTTCCCCTGTTTTTGTACCATCTCATTAGCACTTACAATCTAAAAGGGAGGGTCATTTGATACAAAAAGGTAATAACTGTGGAGGATGAGCTGATGGAGAAATAAAGTGCAGATATTAGGTGAAGAAAGACCTGTCTGGAGAGATGGGTTTTCAGGGATTGTCTAAATGTAGATTGAGTAGGAGACAGGATGTGACAATGGAGCTTGAGAGCAGGAGGTCTTGGGAGGAACAAAGAGAACGATTTGGTTGGTATTTTGAAACTAGGGTAGTGATGCAGCTGTTGGTTGAGTTGTGGATGGATTTGTAAGTTGTTAGTATTTTGAATTGAATTAGTTGGGACAGCAGAAGCCAGTGGAGTGATTGGCAGAGAGGAGTAGCAGATGCTGAACGGTTAGTAAGGTGGGTGAGTCTGTCAGCAGCATTCATGATTGACTGAAGAGGGGATAGCCTATGTAAAGGTAAGCCAATGAGAAGGGGGTTGCAGTAATCAAGGTGAGAGATGACCAGGGAGTGGACTAGGAGCTGGTGTGCTAATCTGAAGGCCACACTAAGTTTGGAGGTCCTTAGCTATTGACTCTGTCTGTTGGTGACTTCTGCGCACTTTGCGCTTCAGCATGTGCTGACCCCGCTCTGTCATTTTACATGGCCTACCACTTTGTGGCTGAGTTGCTGTTGTTCCCAGTTGCTTCCTCTTTGTTATAATACCACTAACAGTTGACTGTGGAATATTTAGTAGCAAGGAAATTCACGGATGGACTTATTGCACAGGTGGCAAACTATCACGGTACCACACTTGAATTCACTGAGCTCCTGAGAGCGACCCATTCTTTTACAAATGTTTGTAGAAGCAGTCTGCATACCTAGATGCTTGATTTTATACACTTGTGGCCATGGAGGTGATTGGAACACTTGAATCCAATGATTTGGAGGGGTGTCCCCAATACTTTTGGCAATATAGTGTATGTATATATATATTATATATAAAAGAAGAGAAGCAGGTGCAAAGCACGTCAGAATATTTGCAGGCGCAGTATATGTAATCAGGCCATCCCAAAGGCCATATATTAAAATGCTTCAAAAATTTACAAAGCAGGGTCTCATGTACACGTGAACTCTTCTAAACATTTAGCTCTCCTGGCAGCAGAAAACGCTAAATGCGTCAAAAACGCGTGTAAATGTAATAGCACGTTTACCCACGTTTAGTGCTTGGACATTTATTCATTTCATTGGCATTTACATTGGCATGAATAAACGCCCAAGTGCTAAACTCTGCTGGCGTTTAGACACATCTACATGCGTTTTTGCAGTATTCTACGTTTTGTGGCCAAAACGTTCCTCTCCTGGACGTGATTCTTCTGCGATCAGGAGAGGGATGTTTATCCTCCTCTAAACTCTGCTGCTCCTAAACTCTGGTAAAAGCCTATGTGTACTGTATATGGACACATAGGCTTTTATTGAGTCATGTTTAGGGGCTTTGGAAAAAAACCACGAAAAGCTCTTAAACTCACGTTTATGAGCAGCAGTGCACATGAGGCCTAACAAAATAAAATCTTTAAGGAACATGTTGATTATTTTGTAAAATTCAATTCAATAAAATTTTGAGTGTGGCAAGCCATCTTTGGGGCATTTATATGTACATAAGCACACACACACACACTATATATATATATATATATATATATATATATATATATATATATATATATACACAAGCACACACATACATATATTGTATATATTATATTATGATATTACAATAAAATCCTAATAAATAATGAATGTTGAACCTATATACTATCCCATTAACAAGTGCAATGTCTTTTCAGGGCTTCAGTTAAAAAGTATGACAAGCAAGGAAAACTCCTGTGCAATAATGAAGATTTATGTGACTGCCTGGAGGAGAGCTGCCAAGGATGCTTCTATCCATGCCCAAAATGTGGCTCCAACAAGTGTGGCCCAGAATGCCGCTGCAACAGGAAGTGGGTCTATGACAGAATCCAGACAGAGACTGGGGATATTATAAGTCAGCTCCCTTTTTTTGTCCCTGATTAGTGGTATTCAATTTGTGGCATGAGAAATGTGTGCAGTGGGTGATTGGCCACTTGTCCTGATATTTAGGAATATTTTAGGTTTAGTATTGGATGTTTGATCCAAAAAGCATGTTCTATGCATAATGCTCATTATTCCTTGAAAATGCTATAAGAATTAGTTTTATAGCCTTAAAAACAGGAGATATATTTCTGGTGGATAAGCACCTTCAACATACACACACAACCCATCACTGATTGCAGTCATAGGATACAAAATAGAGTGATCAAAGAGACACTGGGGTTTATTTACTATGGAAGAATTGGCTGTTTACTTTGCAACATGTATGTTGGTACATCAAGTGAAACTTTGTCAAAATGAATACTCAATTATATGCAAGAGAAATTAAAAAAATAAATAATAAACAAAGGGAATTTTCCTTGCACATGATTGGATGATTTAGATGAACACAGCTTCACCTCATTTAATAAAACAAGTAAACATTTACTTTTCTAAGTGAACATGCTCTATTCCTTTTGCAACCAACCCCAAAGTCATCACAAAAAGTTACATTTAATAATGCTTTGGATATTACTTATTTTTTAACACTTGCCATTAGCATCACTGTGGAATCTAGTCTTTGCTCCCCCCCACATTCTTAGGCCCCATGAACACAAACAACAAAAAATGCCAATATCCATATTTCAATGTACATTGTGGCATTTAGATTCTTATTTTAGAGCAACATTTAGGGCATTAAAAATGGAGAGGAGTATATTAGCATAATTTGTGTACATACGTGTAAATGCGCACATATGCATAAATTTACTCTAGTGCCTAGAACAAATGAATATTTTAACCAACGGAATGAGTTTAGGCATCTACTCTGCTAAATGTCATACATTCATAAATGTATATATATATATATATATATATATATATATATATATATATACACACCACGCCAAAACAAGTATTTTTTATGTTGGATTCTTTTACCAGCTTCTGGTCACTAGATTGTCGCTATCCTGATCAAATCTTGTTTGGTTCAGCAGGGACCAGACGAAATTTGGCAGGCTAATTTTACCCAAGTGGATCCATCAATGTCAGTTGGATTTTTAGCAAGCAATTACTGCCTGCGGCTATAGCTGCTAGCAGTAATCATAGTGTTCTGCCAGCCAGGAAGGTTCCCCGCACACCCCCCTCCCGCCAGCAGAACACAATAGCACTGCATGAGGGATTCCAGTGTTGATGGGGAAATTGAGCAATTTTCTTTTCTTTGGCTTGCCTAACCCTGTTTTCCAAAGCAATGTTTAATCATTACTACAGAACTTACTTTTTCCTTGTGTGTGAAAGAAGAGTTGTTTATCTTAGCTTGTGTTTTGTTTGGAAAGAGTTTTATACTGTGTATTTTTCTACCTTTGCACTAATTTGAAATTGTCTGTTTATTTTTATACACAGTATAATTTATATTTACATTTTTGCTAATAAGTAGTTTATATGATGAAGAGGATACATATTTTGAACAGGATAACTTATTTTTAGGTGTACATTTGTAAATAAAAGATTTTTTGGTTTCTTTTTTTTTTTTTTTACTTTTATTGGTAATCTGTGTTTACTTTCAAGCTGTACTGTCATTTTGCTGTAAAATAACTTTGCCTACTATTAGCATTTAAAGTGTATTTCCTTTTTTGCAGTCAAATTTGAGAAACCTCCACTATATGTGTGTTATGTGTTCTCAATCAGTATCTAAAAATATAAAAAAATAAAGGATTCTTGCTTTTAGATGTTTCTTTGGAGCAGGCCTCTGTTCAGACTGTCTATTCTTTCAGTGCAAGCTATTCTAAGCAAATTTAAAGTCAGTCTGTTGGGAAAGACTGAGTTTCCCTTCATAAACATACAACACAGAAGGTCATCTTTTAGATATTTTATCCTTTGGGGTGGATTTACTAAAACTGGTGCACTCAGAATCTGGTGCAGCTGTATATGGTAGCCAATCAGCCTCTAACTTCAGTTTGTTCAGTTTAGCTTTGGCAATAAAACCTGAAAGCCGATTGGTTTCTATGCAGAGCTGCACCAGATTTTGCACTATCCAGTTTCAGTAAACAACTCCCTTTGTTGGAATAAATAGTATTCACATCTGGATTTTAACTAATAGTGAGATTTACCAGCACAGTGCAGTCAAGGCTAATTATGGTAAACATTAACTGGCGTTTCAAGAGATGAGTAAGTAAAATGCAAGCAACTATATTTTGTAAAATGAGAACATATTTAAAACAGGTGTTATTCCAATTTTGTTGCAAAAGTAGAAACCCACTTTACATTTTGGATGCAGTCAATGGAGTCAAACCCCCAATCTGCATACTTTTTCCTGGTAAGTAATTCAAGAAATAAGCACTAGGCAGGTAACATTTGGCCACATATGGATTCTTTTTTTTATTAGCCAGCTGGCTGATCAAGAAAAAAAAACATTCCCCCATCCATACATTCAATGTGGATGCAGGAATCCTCCCTGCTGCACCACTGTATTCTGACAGCAGGGACTCCTTCACCATCAGAATACACTGATCAGTGCTTCAACATTCCCATTCAAGAGCAGTCAATCTTTAGACCATAAACTTAATCAGGAGGACTACAAGACCCATCAGGAACTCCACATGCCCCACCAAAGCTTGCATGACTTATTTCATCATAAGAGTCAAATATATCTGGTGAGTTGGTGGGCACACAGGAGGGGAGCACAGAGCACGAATCACATACTGTTTTGGAACACTGATTATTGGCACTAAGGACATTATTTTTCACTTTGTAGTTTCTATTCTTAATTTTGTGCTGAATTGTACATAAGTATATGTATCATATTTAGGCTGGGAATTTATTGTATTTGGTTTCTAATATTACCACTACTGATGGCTGCACGTTGAGCTAATTCTATGCCTGTTTCACACTGAAGCTTGCGAGTGCATTACCACTATTTCGTTGGTTAGCATAGCCCCCCATACACTATCCAATTTTGATTACACAGATTCAGTTTGAATTTTTAGAAAGTGAATGGTTGATTTTTTTGTTAATTTTTTTATATTGTGAAGTTGTACGTTTGTTTGTCAAAAATATAAGATCCTTGTAATGAAATGTTTTATTTAGGAAGACATATATCATGACCGCTAAATCTGTGTCTGTAGTGCATGTCCAAAAATCTTAAAACCATAAATAATAACATGTTACTAGATTTTTACTTAAAAGAGAAGTATGGGAAGGTTTTTTTTTTTCAAATCATGCTTATAGGTGGATGCAGCATTGATCCAATGCTGCATCTGTCCCCCGCCGGCTCTAGGAGAGGGAACTGAGCAATCACATGACTGCTGATCACTCAGTTCTCCCTGCTGCTCTGAGCAGAGTGCTGACTGTCATTCACCGCTCTCTGCTCTAAGGGTACTGTCACAAGTTAGCCTGCAGTTTCTTGTTTGTGTATTCTTACCTCCTTGCTGCAGTGCTGTTCCTGATCCCTTTCACATGTGTGGTTTGTTTGTGCTCACCTATGGGCATCATCTGCTGTTCTCTGGGTTTTATTACCTTCCCTTCCATCACTTTCTGGCCAACCTCCTTGTTTTCCTGCTTATATAAGACATACTCAGTCTAGGCCACTTTGCCTGAGCAACTTCTTAGTTGTCTTAGCTCCTGTGTGTTGCTAACTCCTGTATCCGACATTTGACTACTTGTGTACCAACCCCGGCTTTATTCACTGACTGTGCTGTTTTCCACACATCCTGACCTCAGCTAGTCTATTGGATTTCCGTTTGTCTTCTCCCATTGGTCTCAACATCCTCAGCTGGGTGTAGCTGGGGGGCGTGACCTGGTCCCAGCTTGCTGCAAGTCCATCCCCACCATCAGGGGCTCTGGTGAAGAAGCAGGCTGGGGCTTAGACTCCGTGTCCTGGGAAACCCCAAGTTGACTATCTACAAGGGCTCACTACCACAGGTGCTTGACATCCTGAGGAAGCAACTGTCGTCGAAAAACTTGTCTGGCATTACCTACATTATCTGATTGTCCCTTACCCCTCTACAGGATTATTCTGTTGGTATTGTCTACACTGTAACCATTGATTGCAATCATTACAACTGTTTGGTGGGTTTTGGGATATTCACTGTGGGTGAATTGTACAATAATATCTTATCAGATACTTTTTAGATATGATGCGATGTTGAATAAAGGAACATTTTTTCTTTTTTGTGTACAGAACTTCTGTGCCTAGAAAGTCCATTTTCACATTTTTCTTCTATAAAAACCCGACCAAATAAAGTGAACCCAAAATTTAAAAGATGCCTACAAAACCTTGAAGTCCTCTTTAGTTTCCTCTCCTGCATTGAGCTTGCCTTCTTTCAAAGTTCCTTTTCATGTGTATGCTAGAGACGTTTGTAAAACCATGGCGGTGGTAGTCGCCCAGGTACATGGGAGGGCTATGCGCACCAGTAGCCTATTTTTACAAAGTAGTCCCTGTGCCGGTGCAAGGCATGCCGGCGTGTCTGAGAGCTTTGGCGGTGTGTGCAATGGGAGTGGAGATATCTATGGCTATTACATTGGGACATAATACAGAGTTACATACCACACATCATGTATTACAAATTCTAAATAATCTTATTACACAACACATTCAAAGACACTCAAAGAACCAGTGGGTATGAGGTTATTCTCACTTCCACTGTTCATTTATCTATTAAATACTCCTCTTCAAGTTCAGGACCAATTGCTGTTTTAAACGGCATGCTTGGTTTGAAGTCAGAATCTGACATTCCTGCTGAGGAACATGATTGTGTTTCAATTATACATGAAGACACTACTCCCAGATATGACATGTTGCAAGAGCCAGTAGAAGGAAGTGTTGATATTTTTTGTAGATGGTTCATGCACAAGACCTAATGACAATGTCTACTTGTCAGGTTATGCAGTTGTTCAACTCTCAGATAAGGTTTGGGAAGAAAAGCCCCTCCCTTATCTCTCAGCACAGGCTGAGGTACCTAAAGCCC